TATTAAAAAAAATAGATCATAACTAAATTTATGCTATTTTTAAGCTAAAATTGTTACACGAACTCTACAGCTTAAGGATAAGTGATGAAATTTCTGGTATTGGGGTAGGGGCAGCAGACAAAATGGCCATAGCCAAAGTGGTGGCAATGGAAAACGAAGGTGGAGAGCGGCCAGAGGCAGCAACAAAATGCGAAGAAGAGACAGCAGAAGAGGCAGCAAAAGAGACAGCAGAAGAGGCAGCAGCAGAAAGAGAAGAGGCGGCAGGAGAGACAACAGAAAGAACTTGCTCGGCATGTTCTTTTAGTTTAATTAATGAAAAAAATTGCACGCGCTGGCACATATGGCCTCTTCAAATTCACAAAAGAGTTCGTTTGGATTGGGAACCATTTCTATCTTATAATAAATATATATATATATATTAGTATATAATATTTATAAAAATAAATATATAAAAAATACATATTCATATTTCATAAGTAAAAAAAAAATATAATAAGTGGTGTCCAACAAGAAAAAATTATTAGACCCATCGTGGCAACTAACAAGATTTCTCTATTTAAAACCCAAAGCTGATATAAACATAGCTTTGAGAAATATTTGCTATATAAGGATTTTTTACAAGCCGGCATCTAATATAATCATAAAAAAAAATATAAAAAAAACTATAGAATAACAATCACCTTAATGTCTGAACATTCAAAAAAAAAAAAGATAAAAAAGATTTAAAAAACTAACTTTCAAAATCTGATTTCTTAAATAATAAAAAATAGCCGCGATATTTTGAATTGATTATCTTTTAGATCTAAAAAAAACAATACACGTAAACTTACCGTTATTGTTATCAGAGATTTTACCAAACAACCTCAATCACAAGATTTTGACCAATCAAAGTTATGAATTTTTGTTTACATAACGAAGCAAAAAAAATAAAAAATGTGAAAAATACAAAAAACAAATTTCTAAACCTATCTTTGTGCATTAAGAAAAAATATCTGGCAGATGATTTTATCTATAAAACTTGCCTAACCCTAACTAATACAGACTCTAATCTAACTCTAACCTTAATGTAATTAAATTTTGTATATATATTGTAATTGAAAGTTCAAAGATTGTGTTATTAATATACTGTAACTATAGTTCAAAAAGTGAAAGTTCCAAAGTTTGTGAGATCAAAATGCTGTATATGATGACACTGTAACACTAAGACAAAGAAGAACGTAATTTACAATCTTTATAATTATATCGTGCAAATGATTTATTAATAAAAAATTTAAATTTATCTCAATTTCATCTTTTTGCTTAACAATTTCTTTTATTTTTCATACGCGAAACACTATTTTTATTATTCATAGATTTATCTACCTTATTTCCCTAACTATTGTACTCGATTAGAACTAATTCTAATTTTTTGAATTGATTGATTATTTCCATTCTTACCATATAAGCGCGAAATAATACCTATGCTTTAATGGTTCTCCAAATATGGGGATCCGTTAAAGGGATCTGCTAATCCATTAAAGTTACAAGATTTTGACCAATCAAAACTATGAATTTTTGTTTAAATACAAGAAACGAATATCTATATCTATCTTTGTGCATTAAGAAAAAATATCTGGTGGACAATTTTATCTATAAAGCTCACCTAACTCTACTTTAATCTGCCTAACCTAATGTTAATCGGTCCCGCAGTAAATATCAGCCGACTTTGAGTGATATTTGTCCAATAAATAAAGTCATTGAAAAATAACATTTTTTAATACAGTAATAGAAGTTTATCAGTTTTTGCATTAGTTTTGAGTAGCTAAATTTTCTCTACACTGTTCAGTCCCTAATCGGTCCCATCTAAATTACTCAAGAACTAATGCAAAAACCAATAAACTTCTATTAGAAAATGTTACAGAAAAATTATTTTTCTATGACTTTATTTATTAGACGAATATCGGTTAAAAATGCTAATTTTTTATAAATTTTGCTCAAAGTCGGTTAACAATTTCTATGGGACTGATTAACATCCCTACGTATATACATAAAGTCAAGATGCTAAGCATATTAATAGTCAAGATGCTAAGCATATTAATGCGCCTTGTGGAGTGATTGACCATAATAAGTCTGACAATAATTATTAACAAGCCACAATTCAAAGGAATCTGGTCACTTTTGCATGTTTATAGTGCTAAGCTACATATTACTAATAATCATTTCTTTCCTTTTCTAGTTTCACTCTTTTTTTTTTTTTTTTTTTTAAATATACTTTTTATACGCCGTACCTTCGACTTTTGGTTTCTTTCGCCGCTATCTTTTGCTTTTTGGATCTTTCAAACTTCCCTCGGCTAAAATCGCACTAGATTCTTCCATGCTTGGACTTTTCTATAAGGTGCTAAAAGAATCTGTTGTGGATCTTTCATTTCCGGCATGTCTGTAGCAATTTTGGAGTAAAGTTTGGCTTTGCAAAGACACTTCCATGGCAAATGGGTTGGTTCAGGATCTCTTGTTAATCTTGAACCCAAACTATAAGGGTGTTGATATTAAGGCCCGTCCCCAATGCTTCACTTTCGAATGTGTCTTAAGATTCTTAGGTAGGTCTTATTCTGATTTCTAATAAGAAGAATATTTTTTTTTTCTCTTTTGTTTTAATACAGATCTCTTTTCGTTTTGAGTTTCGGTCCATTCATTACTTTGGGTTCTTTTTAGATCTAGCTTTCCGATTCTTACACTTCATCATTAGACCAGTTTCTATGCGTCTTTTGGTAAATCATTCATTCACTTTTATATATATATATATATATATATATATGGGCTGACCTTAGTTCTTTTTCCGGTTTTTGTTCTTTATTACTATCTTTCTGAATCTTCCTGGGTAAAAGCTCATTTGTTAGTCCCTTCTTTGTCTGGTGCTAATGTTGTCTTTCTTTTGGGGCACTTGTAAATTTCAAGGCCTTCTTTTTCTTTGAGATTCGGGTTTCAAGATCTTTCCTTCCGGCGTAGAAAGAATTCAGAAGTACGACATTATTTTTGATCTTGCAAGTTTTCTTAGACTTATTTCTTGCTAGCAGGGTTTTCTTAAACCCAAAGGTTTTTGACAGGCCTTTTTCTCTGGCTTTGTTGAGCATTGCAAGATTCTTGATTCAAGTAATTACCAGAGTACCTTCCAGCGATTACTTTAAGTATCTTGGTTTCTGGGTAAGTAAGAGAATTATGTGTTGAATTGTCTTCTTTTTGAGGTCGGTCTATACTTAATATAATTTTAAATTTTAAGCTATTTGCTTTTTTTTTTCACAACTGGGCACTTTTTATTAATCGCTAGTTTATTAGTGCAGAATACAGTACGTACGTGTTATTTCACTAACAATCACTTCACTGACAGCTTAGCTTACCAACAATTAATTCAAGACAAGTTCATTTCACCGACAATTATTTCACTGACAGTTCATCTTATCGACAAGTATTATTTTTTACAAATTACACTAACCTTAACTCTAATTCTAACCTGATACTAAACAACAATTACTTTGTCAGTGAAATGTTTTTAATGAAATAATTGTCGGTAAAATGAACTTGTTTGTGAATTAATTGTCAGTGAACTAAGCTGTCGGCAAAAATAGAAATGTAAGATATAATATAAATTGCAAATTGAATTATCTTATTTAAAGTTCAATGAAGTTAGTTTGGCTTTCCTGCCATTTTAAAAAAAATCTATGCCAATTTATATCTGTAAGCATCCTCTGTTTTAGGTGGTAGTCAAAAAGAAACCTTCATAAGAGTATAATTAAACCAGTTTTTGGTAAACAGGTAAGAACATGTTGTTGCCAAATTAATGATTGCACATCAGAATTGTTGAGCCCAAAAAGTTGAACACCAGTGTACTTTTGAATATTTAATTTTCGCTACACTTCATTTGGAGATGATCCTTCAATTCGATTTTTAATTTCAAATTCTTTATGAACTTTAAGTGCACAAAAATCATTATCTATTGTTGAAAAGTATAGAACGCTTGTTCTATTTACACTATGTAGAATTGAAGACTTATATCCTGGTCCACCATTATTCTATTCAGCATTTGAAGAAGATCCAATACCAGAAACAAAAATTTTGTATTCACCGAGTGAAAAGAATATAGAAACAAATGATATATCTAATAATAGCTGTTCAATTATTAATTCATTCATCCACCCAAATACTAAAAATCCAGAATAACGTGTTTGAGTATTGAAGATCCCTTTATATACCACAGAAATTGCTAATGTTGAATCCAGTTTTATACTAGAACAAGAGCCGCTTTCACAATAAAATCTAGGTAAAAAAGAATTTTCAGAGTAGTTAATAATAACTATAATAAAAAATTCATGTTCATTTAAAATTATTTTAGTTTTTTGACCAATTCGAATAGGAAAAAAATTTTTTTTTGCTTATAGTAGAAGACCGCTACCAGTAATGTGAGATATGCTCCATAATGAGTATTTTCGTTTAATATTCCCTTTTCTATTAATACAACAGAAAGTTTTGGCATTTTTTACGATCTTAAAACCAAACTTCACAGATTTGTACGTATATAATAAATTACTAGTATACTTATCCCAAAATTTTATGTAGTATTATGCATAATTTATGCTAATCTTATCCGGATCGGCAATTAAAATAATATACCTGATATGCGATAGAAATATATGTCACATGATTATCAGGGATTCTGAATTGTTTTCTTGATCTTGTATATATAAAAAAGGAAACAATGCCGAATTTCTAATAATACCTATTCTTTTATCACTATGCAATTAATTGTTTGAATAACCAGGCTTGGTTCGATACTGTATATATTAGATATCACTATAATATATTTAGTTAATTTTTGTTAGAAAGATACACAGAAAATTTTTGTTAGAAAAATACACAGAAAAATTGTTTAGTTACACAAGATTGAAGATTATGCTTTTTAATTCTTCTGTATAGTATTACATATCTAAATTTTCTTATAAAATGATTCGGTTATTAAAGCATAAATGATATGGTTGAAAATTCGGAAAATAATTTTGTAGAATATTGCCTCACATAGTTAAAAATTTCTTCATTGTTAAGGATTTAACACATTTGTCTTTGATGGCATGTATGTTTTGTTTAATATCGGCTTTCATAGTTAAGAATAATTTTTTAGTATGACTTTAACACGTTTATCTTTAACTTCTAAAGAGCTTTGTTTTATTTGAGATATTTATATGACATAAGTCATAGGTGTTTGAAGAATTCTGCATATTACTTCTCTAATTTGTATGCAAACAAATTACTTTGTTGAATTTTTCGTGTTATCTTTAACTTTTCTCAAAAGTTTTTCAGTTGAGACTTTATTTTGAAGAACGGCAAAATCATGAATTTTCTTAGAATTCAGTGTATATCTTCAATAGTCTTTCTGTGCTCATAATATTACTATATTTGGTATAATATTTTTGTAATATTTGCGTATATTTATATTTTGTACTTTCGTTTAAAAAAAAAAGAAGAAATTGGTGCATTCTGGAGAGAAAAAAAATTAATACATTTTGGAAAGAAGAACAGACAATATATTGTTTACATATTATTTATATTAATGGGAAAATTAATTCTGAACAATGGTCTTCGGTGAGCGAAATCTAAAGTATACCCCTGACTTAGTTTGAATTCTGATCATTGAATGAATCTACAGTATACTCTTAATTTGTTTTTATAAATTTATTCAAAAAAGTATTTAAGACGATACAGGTATTATACTTTTTTTTGCCAAAATTCAATAAAATATTGAACCCGATATTAAATATATAATAGTAAATAAAAAATGTCATTATCCAAAAATAATTCTAAATACAAAACAAAAAAAGTTCAATGTTATTGTCCAAAATATAATGGGAAATTTGTTGATTGAAGAATACAACAAGAGCATATTAGCCTAGCTGATATTGTAGATCTACTACAACTGTAGAAAGATTATCAACTAAACATAAATATGAAGAGGAACCACTTTCAAAACACAATAGTTCAGAAAGTAAAAATTCTGAAAATGAATATTCGGATAGTAGTACTTCTAAAAATGAGGAAGCATCGCTACTAGCATTCCAACTAAAAAGTGATGATTCAAGTGGATCTTCGAATAATAGTAGTTCTGAAAATAATAAAACCAATGATTCAGAAAGTGAAGAAGATAGTACAACCAGCGAAGAAGATAGTATAACCAGTGAAAATAATGAAGAAGATAGCTCTATTAGAGAAGTCGATATAATAAGTTTATATCTAGAAGATGATTTTGATGAAAAATTATCAATTTCTAGAAAATCAAATAAAGGAAAGTTTAAAAAGATAACATCAGATAAAGAGATAAATGTTGATCAACCTTTAGGAAATAAACTACCTTTTGATGTATATCAACTATTAGATGAAAATGTTCCTATGGATGAAGATGTTCCTATGACAATTATAAACGATGAGCCTGATGAGCTTGATGATTCATTTTCTTCAAGCGATTTGTCAACAAACTCACAAAAATATAAAGCTATTGACTTTAATTCACTAGATCTCGATCCTGAAGTTTTTGACCCATCTTTTAAATTTAAAAATAGTTTGAATGATTGGATAACTTTATAGATTATGAAATATTAGCAAAGATTCAATATACCCAATATCAGTACAAAAGCACTAACAAAGTATATATGTTGTTTATTTCAACATTTTGAAATAAACAAAGCCGATAAGTTACTGACATCTATGTATACCTTAAAATCATCTTTAGATATCTTAACCAAATATAAAAAGAGAGTTGCTATTTTCACCCCCAAATTTGCTAATTCCACCTTCCTGCAGATTTAGCTTTTTTTTAAACTTTGAGCAAAAATATCTTGGTAACTACCAGGCCAAATTTGACAAACATTTTTTCTTTGAATTCTATAGATTTGTAGAATTCAAACAAA